CGATGCATAAGTGGGTTTTGGGTTGCAGTTTGGGCACTCGGTCTCTAAAAGGTTCGCCATCACTGGTATAGGTAGTTGGCCACGTATGTCTTAGTTAACAAAAGTTTGCAAAGTGGATAATCCATGCTGTTTAAGTGCATGTAGATAGATCAGTGAGGATTCCCAACTTTTTATATTTCAAGTAATGTTTCTTCCTGTCCCCTTCAATTTGCGCTAAAAATTCTCCTAGGAAAAAACTGGGAATTATATTATCTGTGTCTGTAAATGATGTAATCTGAACATTTGTATGCTTAATCTATGGTCTCATTTAATGTGGCTAAATTGACATGGAAATGTACCAAACCTTTTGTCTTTCTATAAACTGCAATTCTGTATTCATTTAAGTTACTGATTTGTCAGGCCAAGGTTCTTTCGTTAGTTTAGTATAATAGCATTAAGTGAGACTGATTTATTTCTAGAACTTGTAACACGATAGTAGGTGTATCTAATTACCCTTAAAATTGTCATCTTCTCTTTTTAGTTACTATGCAAGCCAAAAGAAGATATTTGAAATTAATCCTAAACATCCTCTCATAAAAGACATGCTCAGGCGTGTTCAGGTAAGAATGTTAAAAGGTACAGATGAATCTAATGCAGTTTTGTACTTCTAAAATTTTGGACAAGAAATGCAAAAAATAATTCAACTCTTGAGTCTGTGAGACTTGATGAGTCTCAAACTGGAAATTTCTAAACAATTTCTATAGTATCCTGTGTTCTCTTTTTTTTTGTCAGGAAAATGAAGATGATCAAATAGTTGCAGATCTTGCTGTGGTTCTGCTTGAAACTGCTACCCTAAGATCAGGTTATCTGCTCCCAGATACAAAGGAATATGGAGAAAGGATAGAACGAATGCTTCGCCTTAGTTTGAACATTGACCCAGAGGAAAAGGTTAGTGAAGATCAAATACTGTAATACAGAGGTCACCATCCTTTTCATACTGGTGGCCCGGAGAGGAAGGGAGCAGGTGGGAAATTTGCATGTGCGAACAGGGCCGTGCGCTCCTGCATGGCGCTAGCAGCCCCGTTTGCGCAGGTGCTAGCTGCTATCGCTGCACACAGGTGCAAACTGGCCGCACAACCTGCATGGCATTAGCGGCCCCATTTGCACAGGCGGTAGCTGCCGCCTCTGCTAGCGCCACATGCATGCGCAAATGGGCTGTGTAACCCTGTGTGCGCAAACGGCCCCGTTTGCACATGTTCACATGCACTAGCCACCAGCACTGCTAGCCCCACAAACATGCGCTCTTGTCTGCGGGCTCTAGCGCAAGTGGAGAAGTGCACGCACTGGCCAGCCTGGCCTGCAGCCCGGTGGCCAGTAGCCCATGGCCTGGCAATGGGCCGCAGTCCATAAGTTGGGGCCTCCGGCTGTAATACATGCAGGAAATAGACTCATGACTTACATTTTGAGTTGAATGTGCCAGAATAATTCTTGACACCATTTTCTTCTGGATTAACACTTCTGATTCAAAATATTGTCTGCTTGTCATTCCTATTCTCTTTTACAGGTAGTCCTTGACTTAAGACTACAATTAAACAAAAATTTCCTTTGCTAAGCAAGGAGGTTAAGTGAGATGTGCCCCATTTTATGACCTTTTTACCATGGTTGTTAAGCAAATCACTACAGTTAAGTGAATCATGCAGTTGTTAAGCATATCTGGCCTCCACCTTTGACTTTTGCTTGATGGAAGCTCCCTAGAAAGGCTGCAAATGATAATCCCAGAACCCCAGGACACTGCAACTATTGAAAATACATGCCGATTGCCAGCATAAAAAGTTTGATCACGTACTCCAATGGTCATAGGTGTGAGAGCTGGTCATAAGTCACTGGAATTACATCAGCACATTTGGCTTATAAAAAATTCAGCATTTCAAGTACACTCATTCAGCAACCTTTTAAAGTTATGACACTGCACATCTCTGTGATACTAACATTTCTGTCTGGAACCTTTAACTGGGCAAAACAGTGCATCATAAAGCAAAACCTTTTCAAGCAAGGTACATCAAATTGGCTAATTTACAGAATGCTTTTACAATACAGGACTTCCATGGAATTGAAATTTGTCAAATTTTATAGAACATTTTACAACAATACAAAACAAACATTTCCTGTGGCCAACACCTGATGTTTGAGTGTGCATGAGCTACTTTCAAGGCAGGCACTTCTCTGAATATCTCCATAATTTTTAAAGAATTTTTCCAGCATAAGTAGTCCTCAACTTACAACTATTTGTTTGGTGACCGTTCAAATTATACCAACACTGAAAAAAGTGACTCACGACTGATCCTCACACTTATGACTGTTGCAGCATCCCCAGTCACATGATCAAAATTAGGTCCTGGCAATCATCATGTATTTACAATGATTGTAGCATCCCAAGCTGTTTCCTACAAGCAAAGTCGGGAAGCCAGATTCATTTAATAGTGTGATGCACTTAACTAGTCATTATTTAACCATGGCAAAAGGTGGTGGTAAAATCAGACACAATTTAACTGCCTTGCTTAGCAATGGAAATTATGCTCTGCCATTATTGAAGGCACTGGGAAATCTGGTGAAGAAATATATTTGAAACAATGACCCTATTATGTAGTGATATCTAAAACATACTTTGAATTGATCAGGGTTTCATAGTCATATTTGTGTTTGTGTGTGTGTGTCTCATATAATGGTATATAAAGCTTTGTCTTGTTAAATATTTCTGAAAGGTGGAAGATGAGCCTGAAGAACCAGAGGAAGCTGATGAAGAAGTAGAACCAGAAGAGGAAATTGAAGCTGATGAAGATATTGAAGATAGTGAAACAGAGAAAACGGTCAGTGTAGTTAGGAAGAACTGGGGCAGGAGGAGGGAGGGAAGATAACAGGTGTATAAGGTACCATCTTTTCTATCTGTATAATTTGTCTCAGTTGACAGAAGTTTGGGATATAAGCATTACAGTGTTTACCACCAGCACTAGCATTCCTTGTGTTTTTCACTTGATTTTAGAACCAACTATGTCTAGCCCCTTTAACAGTGTCATAATAAACTTGCACTTGCTGGATCTCTGTCATCCTCCTTCCCTCAAAACGTGGAAGCTATAAAATTCCTGTCTCATGAAGAAGTCACAGTGAGAACAGGCAGGATATAGTTGCCATTTTTAAACCACGCTGTACAAAATAAAAAAAATGGAAAGTTGAAACATGTAAAAGTGACTTATTGGGGATTCTGACATCTACAAGATTTAATCTAATCTATACTTTGTTTCTTGCAGGAGTCCACAGATGGAAAAGATGAATTGTAAAATGCACTCTCAAATACTATCCTGTGTTTTGGATGAAGCAGGAATGTGAACTGAATTTGTTTTTTCACTGTAAAATGTTGGGGGGAGGCTTAGGGTTTGGGCAGAATTTTTTTTAAGTTGCATTTTTTAAACATTCCTCACAATGTAAATTTGTACTATTTAACTGACTGCTTGGTGTAAAATCTTGTCATGTGTACAAAATTAAAATGTTCACACCAGTTGTATGGGACATTGAAGTGCTTATTTACTTGCATTGGATGTAAAGAAAACTTGTACAGACTCAATTTGGCAGTCACATTCTCAGGACAGGAATTATTTTCTAAAGGTCACATTAGAACTACTATCTTTCAATTATTTCCTATTCTACTAAAATGTGTACCAGAATCTTAGCCTGTTAAGGCAGGCTTCTGCTTAATGGAGTCTATTTTTAACTAGTTGGCAAAACTTAGGGAGTCTTAATTTTGCAGTAATTCATCCTAGTTTCCTCTGAACAGGTCTTACATACCTTGGATTTAGTAAATTGCCATTTAAACTTTAAACTCACTAATATATTCCCTAATTTGGGTCACATTTTGCTGGAGGGAAGGCAGGTGTTACCCTGCAGCGATGCTTTAAGATAAAGTAAGCCATCAGATACTCAAAAATGAATAACTCATGTCTCTCAAGCTGGTCAGCATCTATTTTTAAACAAGGAGCAAGTAATGGTTTTATATACAGTGGAACCTTTAGCTATCTATTATATCCTGAGAGCTAAATGCACTTGAATTCCGACAGATCTTTACCATAAAGATTGTGTAATTTTAAGCCAATTACACCTCAGCCAAACTTCACATATTCAATATTTAAAGTGAAATAAAAGAGAAAAATTTGGTAATTTTCAAAAAGAAGCATAAGGCAATAAAACAGTGGTTATGTGCACCTTTACAGAAGAGTACTAACTGAAGTTATTGCATGCCATAATAGGCATGTTTTATGCCCATTCTCATGCTTCCTTAAACAATCTCTACTTGTAACATGGAGTTTCTGTTATCTTGTTCAATGCTTTTCTGTGAAGGGAAGATATTCTGAGTTGACTTAAACAGTAATAAAACTTGATAACTTGAACAGTGTTAATACAAGGAATTGCTGCAGTTTTATCAAGTAAATGTTTGAATTTCATTCCTAGATTCTGTTTCCGATGTTACAATTTGTTTTCCCAGCATTTTAATACACATATTTAGACCCAGGTTTAATGGAGGATTTCACTCAGATGTGGAATCAAAATACTTCTGTTAGACCTAAGAATAAAAATATGTATATGAAGAATGTATAAAAATGATTTGTTCTTTTCAGTTGCCTCATCAAGGTTCGATCCTACTTAGACAGTTCAAGAAACTACTTGCTACACATATTTAGGGTTAGGTACTTAGGTCTACTAAGTAGTTATAATTGCAGTGCAAAATACACAGAAAATTGAGTCATATCTTTACAATAAAGCACTTCCAATTAAATACACTGGATTATATATTTTTGAATAGATTGGAAGAGTCAGTATCTTTTTGCACTTAATGCTGATACTCTGAATCAAACCTTCAAAATACATAGACCAGTTTCCCCAGCCTGGTATCCACCAAGTGTGCCGACTACAGTTCCCATAAGTTTCCAGCCAAAAAGAAACGAATTAACATTTACAGAAGCTGTATATTTAAACATATTTATTATCAGAAGCTGATTGTGAAAATTCAGAATGGTCAAGAACAAATATCACTGAAATAAAATTGCTACGTTATTGACACAGGATGCCTGCTTTGCAGAAAACCACATTACAGTATAGTAGTATGGGAGGCTAAACCTAATTTTCAAATGGATACCTTGTTTAATTGGCTTATAGCAAAACATGTTTCCAAACACAGAACAAATGTAGTGAACTAAAGGTTGCAGGTAGATAACAAACAAAAGCAATGGCTGAACAGATCATCTTTGTAGGGAAAAAAAAAAGTAGGAAAGGCAATCTTGGACTCAAAAACAATACAGATAGAAAATAAGTCCTTTTAAATATTCATGATTTTCCAGTTATACATGTTCAGATAATAAATGCTAATAAGGAACACTTTATGGAGGATGCAACATTGATTCTTTTACGTTCGTGGCTGTAAAGGTTGAACTGGCTCATTCGTATTTTTTAGACTCGACATTTCTGTTCTGAGCTCCCCAGCTTTTGAAGGAATATCTGGTGTCTACAAATAAATAATATCCAAAAACAAATCCATCAAATGTCCATGTCAATCCACACATTTTAGAATTCCAGTTGACATTTAGCACTCTTACTAGAAACTTACAGATAGATTATTCATTCTCAAACTATGACAGCACCATCACCAGGTGGGTTTGTAACTGGCTAACAAATTGAATTAAACATGTAGTCCTCAACAGAACTACATCCACATGGAGGGAAGTAAGCAGTGGGGTATCCCAAGGTTCCATTTTAGGCCCAATACTCTTCAATATCTTCATAAATGATCTAGACGGAATTGAAGAAGAACTCATCGAATTTACAGGTGACACAAAGCTGGCAGGAATAGCCAACACCCTAGAAAAAAGCTCACAAACCAAAAAGATCTGGACAGACTTGAACACTGGGCCCTATCAAATAAAATGAAATTCACTGAAGATAAATGTAAGGTTTTACACTTAGGTTAAAAAAAAATCAACTACAGGTATAGAGTAGGACAAACTTGGCTTAATGCCAGTAAATGTGAGAGGGATCTTGAAGTCCCAGTGGACAATCACTTAAATATGAGCCAACAGCAGCAAAAAAAAAAAGCCAATACAATCCTAGGCTGCATTAATAGAGGGATCGAATCAAGACCATGTGAAGTTCTAACACCACTTTACAAAGCGTTAGTAAGACCACACTTGGAATACTGCATCCAGTTCTGATCACCACAATATAAAAAAGATGTTGAAACACTGGAAAGAGTGCTAAGAAGAGCAACAAAAATAATTAGAGGACTGGAGGCAAAACGTACGAAGAACGGTTACAGGAATTGGGTATGTCTAGTCCAGGGGTAGGCAACCTTGGCTCTTTTATGACTCGTGGACTTCAACTCCCAGAATTCCTGAGCCAGCAGGAATGGCTGGCTCAGGAATTCTGGGAGTTGAAGTCCACGAGTCATAAAAGAGCCAAGGTTGCCTACCTCTGGTCTAGTCTAATGAAAAGAAGGACTAGGAGGACATGATAGCACTGTTCCAATATTTGAGGGGCTCCTACAAAGACAAGGGAATCAAACTATTTTCCAAAAAGCAAGACAAGAAACAATAGATGGAAATTACCCAAGGAGAGAAGCAACCTAGAACTAAGGAGAAATTTATTAACGGTGAGAGCAATCAACCAATGGAATAGTTGCCTTCAGAAGCTGTGGGTGCTCTATCACTGAAGGTTTTCAAAAAGAGACTGGACAACCATTTGTCTGAAATGATATAGGATTTCCTGCTCGAGCAGGGGTTAGAAGACCTCCGAGGTCCCTTCCAACTCTATTGTTCTATGTTCAGTGAGTAGCTCCAAGAAGCAACTTGAACTGAAAGTGAAAAATTACCTCATCTGCGACCCCTTAAATGCTTTTTGGTGTATCTGATACATAGAGAAAATGGAGCACACCTGACATCTTTAATAAGCTGTCGATATCTGAATTGAAAAAATCCAAACCACCACTATTTTTATTTATTAAAAAAACACTAATTTATTTAAATTTATTTACAAATCACTATTTCTAGATTTTATAGCCATATATGCCAAGTCTAGTGCTTAGGACCAGTTTTGCATTCCCAATCAATTACCTCAATCCCCGGTTGTACTGCTTTGACCTCCAAGCGGAAAGATACAGCATAGGTTGTCAACTAACATATAAGTAACTTCAATTAAATGATAAGACACATTTCCAAGTTTTGAGTTTAAAAAAAAAGTTTGTGTTCATTTTTTAATATATTTTTTTTAATCTGAATTGAGTCCTGGGGAGAAGAACCTGTAGCTGAGCCACAAAAGTAACCTACTACAAAGCTCTCATCTCTGCAAAAGACAGGACTTGTAGGTGAGGGAAGGCAATCAACCAAAGAGCTATGCAATGTATTCAAAGGGGTAGAAGAAAACCCCAATAATAAGTTATCTTTAATAATGCTCTCTTTCTGAAGCAGAAGACAAGTCAGTAATCAAAAAAGGGGGGGAAAGACACTTACAAGGTCAGGTCTGTAAAATTTGTGGACGGTTTGTGCACCAGCAAGCATGGTCAAGAAGGTTGCAGTAAGGATTTTCAAGTATTTGGGCCAACTTAGACCGGCAGGCATGGCTCTGGACCTCAGGAAAAAAAAAAGTATAGTAGAAGTTAAGACATGGTCTTCCCCAGCAGGAATCAATCTTCTAACTAGCCAGAGCTGGGAAGTATATAAGAAATTGGGAAGGAAAAATAATTATTTCAGCAGTCCCAAAGCTGCTTTGGGATATAGAGCAAACCACCAAAATCAAAGTAACAATGCATCATGGCAAAAACATATAGTAATCAAGGCGGTTTTACAAATCAGGGCTCTTCCTCGCAAGCTAACAATAGCACTAAGATGCTTGACTAATCATTTTTAAGAGACATCTTTATGAAGCAACTGTAGTCTTTATTCCCAGCCCACCAAAGGCATACAAAATGTGTCATAGCTGCTCTAATTTTAAATAAAGGTTTTCTATCCTCCTCCAGCACTGTGTGTGTATGTGTGTGTGTGTATGTAAATACATGAATTTGGTGATGATGAGGTCAGAGGCTGCAATCTTCTGAACTTCTATTGGCTGATTGAGGAGCTATTGGCATGGCCCTTCCCTATAGCTTGAGATGAAGGAAAGACCACATATCATGTTTTCACAGAACCTGTAGAATCTGACCTATAACTTCAAAAGAAGCACGTCAACATTTTATTTTACTTATTTGCTGCCCATTTCGTTTTGGAGTAACTTTGGGCAGCCATATTATATGGGATCTCAATATACAGGACATCCTCAAGTTACAACAGCAATTGGGATTGAGATTGCTGCAGCTAAGTAATATGGTTGTGAAATGCAATGTCACATGACCACATTGCTTAGCAACGACAATCCCTCTTTGCTGTTGTAACCCCAAGATGCATGGATTGCTAAACTGAAAGTGGCAGGAATCCAAGGTGCCATGGCAAACTGGGGAAGTCTCTGGATCATAATCGTGTGATCACAGAGTTGCTGCAATGTCTGTCACTTTTAGGATCAGTTTTATGACCATGTTTTCAAACCCCTCTCCCATAACTTTGAACAGTTGCTGAACAAATGGACACAGGCGGAGGTCTACCTATACACTAACACATGCATCTTTTGGAAGGCCAACAAGGGTTTCCACGGTTATGTTTTCTATTGTTTTAATTATTTGGGGGGGGGGGTATCATTTGCATATTCTAAGGAATACTTGCAGGTTACATCCAGTTACTGCCAGCACTCCATTACTCTTGCATCACAGGTTACAAACAGAACATCACAGAGAAAATCTAACTATATAGTTGTCAAGACTTGATACATAATCTACTAAAAAGCTGGGAATATGTGGGAACTGTAATGAAACAGACAAAGGTTCTATCAGTTTCCCCTTCTAGAACAAATAAACCCAACAAGTGTAAACCTCTGTCCCCAAATAGCCCAAAGAAATATGCTTAGTAAGGCATAGGAAGACTTAGGATGAACGTTACTAGGAGGTATGCTGTGACTGTTCCTTTCCACATCAACCTACATTCTTCCTCTCTGATCCACTGACCTGTCAGCTGGAGCTGGACTGTATTTGGACACTGAATTTCAGTGGAGCTGTGTTAAGAAAGAGCCCAAGTGATCCATTACTAAAGCGAATATTAAAATATTTACTAAAATATTGCCTTAGGTGTAAAGACAGCTGAGTGACCTTGAGCCTGTCACTCACTTTCTTAGGCCTAGGAAGGACGAATTGGCAAGCCACTTCTGAAAACCTTTGCCACAAAAACTGCAGGGACTAGTCTCTAGACAGTCATCAGAAGTCAAGACTAACACACACCCCGTGATGGAGTATTTCCCTTCTCCCGCCGCGAAACAAACGTAACACGACAAACTCAGGTCCTACCAAAGTTTCCGAACGGATTTTCCCTACAAAGGACGCCAGAGAACGGACGAAGCATCGGCGCTCAGCAAACTTGCGTCACCAACTCCGGATCCCAGCAAGAACCAAGAGAAGGTTCTGCGGATCCGCCTGGCAGCCGATCGCAACGGCGGAAGCCAACTTTACAACATGCAAAGCCACGTGCCGGAGGAGGAAACGTCATCTCTGGGTAGACGAAAGAGAGAAACGAAAGAGAAGAGAGCCAGCCGAAAGCGAGCCAGTGGATATCGCGAATTGTGAAGCGTGGCTTTTGTTTAAAGCCGCCTGTATTTTTCTAGATTTGGTGAAAAGGAATACCTTGAACCCTCTGATGTATCGACCCTAAGTAGCTCCGCTATCATTGACATTCCCGTTTGGCCGCCTCTTAGTTCAGTGCTTTTCAAACTTGGGAACTCTAAGATGAGTGGACTTCAACTCCCAGAATTCCTCAGCCAGCACTTCTCCGGTACGCTGGCTGTGGAATTTTGAGAGTTGAAGTCCACTCATCTTAAAGTGCCCAAGTTTAAAAAAAACGTTGCTTTAGTTCAGTGTTTCTCAACCTTGACAATTTTAAGGCATGTGGACTTCAACTCCCAGAATTCCACAGCCAGCAATGCTGGCTGTGGAATTCTGGGAGTTGAAGTCCACATGCCTTAAAATTGTCAAGGTTGAGAAACACTGCAAGTTGGTTGCCTTTGCCCACAGGCTTCTGCTAGTTTTCAGGCTATTGTTATCGATTCATTATTCTCCCCTGCAGTAAGCGGAAAACATTCGGGAGTAGAAGTGAGCTTGCCTATAGAAATCAATGGAAAGATTAGATTGATACAGGAGTAGTAGTTCTAATGAACTATTCTTAGCGACTGCCCAATCAAACCGTAGGGCCAATTTAACTCAGGTCTCTTTTCCCCTGTAACGTATTGCTTCTTTACCCTGCATTTGAAAATAAGGTTTGCATTATCAGTCCAATATCAACTGACTCCATCGTTTCCAAATGTGTCAGCGTGTATTTGCCGCGTGTCAGAGCTCGACGCTGTTCAAAACCGCGATCGAGAAATGGCTTATATCTAACTGGAACTGTATTGTACACGTTTGAACCAGGTTTTCCTCTACCGGAATGCCAGATTTCGACTTCAACACTCCTCAAGGAATGACCAAACTTAGAAGGGAATTAGGGGCCTCAGAAAGCCGATCCATTTATAATAATAATAATGATAAAGTTGGAAGGGACCTTGGAGGTCATCTAGGCCAACCCCCTGCTCAGGCAGGAAACCCTATACCATTTCAGACAAATGGCTGTCCAGTTTCTTCTTAAAAACTTCCAGTGTTGGTGCATTTGCAGGTACTACCTTGAGGCAGGCTGTTTTAAAACTTCAAAGTGAGAAATTCAACTTTTTGAGTCTTCGCCCTTCACTCTTTGATTTGGCTTCAGAACCTGCCAATATTTCGCTCGTGAATCGGAAGTGAGTTTCGCGTTCTTATATTCCCACACACACACACACACACACACACACCCCGCGGAAATTGGAACTTTGCTTTGTGGATCTCTCTACACCTTTCGTATCTCTACCGGCTGGCTAGTCCCGGCGTGCTGAGAGCTAGGAGCGCGCGCGAGGCGGCGGAAGGTATAGCGCGCGCGGAGGGGAAGGGGCGCGGAGGGGCTGGGTTGGGAGGGGGCTTGGCTGGGTTCGGCGCTCGTTTCCTGGCCTTCCCCCGAGAGAGGAGGTCCGGCTCATTGGCCGGCAGAGCGGACGGCGAGGGGTGGTGGTGGTACCAGAGCCCGGAGATGGAAACCGAGGAGCCGGGGACCAGGTATTCGCGCGGAGGGGGGGGCGTTTACGCTGCTGGGGAGGAAAGGAACGGCACCCCCCCACCCCCCGTGGGTGCTTTCCTGTCGCCGGGTTGGCGGTTACTACAAAGGGTTTCCGGCTGAGCTCCAGAAGAAGGCCGAGGCCTGAACTGGGTTTTTAGGAAGGACATTGTACTGGATCTGGACCGCAAAAGTCCGGACGATCATCAAAGGGCAGCCTCGCCTTCGCATCTGCTTCATGTCTTTGCTGCCATCCCTGGGCGGCAGATAAATTTAATTATTATGGTTGGTCGCACAGTCAGCCGGTTGTTTAGACTGGATTTTGCGGCTTTGTCCATTGATCAAGACGTTCCGAAGGATCTGGGATAGGCAAATGGTGTTTAATAATATTAAAGGTATTGTCACAGGATTGTTTAATAATATTAAAGGTATTGTCACATTATGCAATTGATAGATGGCGATTTTGTCCAGGCTAATGACGTTCTGATGTTTTGGAATTGCAACCTAGGGCATCTATTACTGTTGATACTATCTTTGCTTTCTTTTGCCACAGTCGTTCTATTTGCAGGTCTTTATCTCCAATTCTTTCTCCTCTACTGTATTCTGCTGTCTCCAGGTACAGCAACGTCGACTATCCAGACTTTTTTATTTTCTCTTGCAGGATCTTTACTACAAAGGGAAAACATATTTTTTTTTTGCCTTCTTTATCAGCATCGCTAAGCCTGCAGATGTTTGAATTCTAAAGTCCCAGAGTACTCCAGCTTCTTTATTTTCTATAACTTTGTCTATTTTATGGTCCTACTAGTTCTTGCTTGCAGGCAAATCCTACTTCTTGAAAATGTTCCAATGCATCCTTGTTCTACTTTGCCATGCTGTTGTTTGTAGTCATTCTGCAATTTTCTTGCAGCCCTCAACTAGGTGGCCCATTGTTTCTTTAGCTTCTTTACATTTGCTATCCTTGCTGTCGTCTGAATTCTAGTTTTATATGCATTTGGTCTTAAGGCTTAAGCCAGAATTAGCTCCTCTCTTTGTTTTTTCAACTTTACTGCTGTTAACTATTGTCAGGTCTTATTTTCTGTTTTGCCTACTAGTTTTTTTAAAGTACTTACGGGCCATATAATACTGTGCCTTGCCATGTCTCGTTTTTTTTCTTTATTTTGTCTTTCTCGTAGGCCAATATAATCACTGGTATTTCAGAAAGCCTTCATGATGTACTAGCTTCAATGCACCTTCTTCACTGTCCTTCACATATTTTGTCAATGCTCTTTTTTTCTTCTTTACCTGTCTGGTGTACTTGCAACACTTCATGATCATCTGTGCTATTTGATAAATAGAGTCTGTCAACTTTGCTGTGTGATTGAAGGACATGATTTGTTGTTATTTTCTGGTCTTCCTATTCTGGTCTTCTATTTTAGCTTGAGTCCAGTCTATTATTCTAGGTATGTGTGCATGTGTGTTTGTGCTTGTGTGTATTTTCAAAGGTGTGTGTGTGTGTATGTGTGTGTGTGAAAAATAAGTGAGGGCAGGGAGATTGGTTTTTAAAGAAAGCTACTGTTATGACTTTATTGTGATATTACAGTAATGTATTGAAAATCACTGTAAAGTGTTTTAAGAATGGGATTAATATCTGATAAATGGTCCCTGTAAATATTGATAACATTTCAGATCTGCTTTCAAATAACAGATGATAAAACCAGAGCTTGCCCCATATTGCTAATGAGAACCCATCATAAGAAAAATGAAATATAAAATGCCATCCTCACCAGACATACAGCTCTCTGTATGCTCAGATTCCACAATCTGAGCATCTACTGAAGGTTTATTCAAAGGTGTTCTTTTACAGAGTTTACTTAGAAAAACAAATACTTTTAAGATAAGCTAATGTGGATGACACATTACTTTCCACTAAGTATGCTACTTAGGATGCAGCCAGAATGAAGAAAAAATGTTGGCTTCTTCCTGGAAATCTTTTAATTCATTCTTCAGGTTGACACTCCAGTGTACTTAAATGATTGTAAGTTTAAAATTGAAGGTTCAGCAGAATTACTCCAGAAACTCCCACTAAAGAGCACAGATCTGTGAACACAGTTCTGGATAAGAATGTCCGACTTCACACAACGACTCTACTAGCTTGGTTAAGAGGCTTTTTTCCTATTTTCTTTATCCATACATAAGTTAGTGGCAGGAAGTGTTGCTCTTTCTTTCTTGCTTTGCACACTAGGATACCTCTGCTTGCCGAACTTTTACTTTATAACTGCTCAGATTGGTGTAAATCATTGTATATGTTTATAGTCTTTATTCCAGAGTAACTGATAAAATGCTCATAAATTATGTAATTCTATAGGTAGCAAATTTTTAAATTGATTTCAGGAATGCATTCTGAATACAGGTAGTCTTCGACTCACAACTGTTTGTTTAGTTACCATTCAAAGTTACAACCGCACTGAAAAAAGTGACTTATGAATGTTTTTCTCACTTATGATCATTGTAGCATCTCCATGGTCATGTGATCAAAATTAAGACTCTTGGCAATTGATTCCTATTTATGACACAGTGTCCCAGGGTCATGTGATCACCTTTTGCAAACCTCTGAAGAGCAAAGTCAATGGGGAAGCCAGATTCACTTAACAACAGTGTTACTAACTTAACAACTGTCCTGATTCACTTAATAACTGTAGCAAGAAAAGTTGTAAAACGGGGCAAAATTCATTTAACAAATGTCTCGCTTAGCAACAGAAATTTTGGTCTCAGTTGTGATTGTAGATCGAGGACTAACTATATTTTCTAACAATTTTCAAATGGTACTTCAGGATGCATTATCTTCACCTGATGGCACAAGCAACAACAGCTTGGTTTTCTTAATAGTGACTTGATCTTTTTTAAAAATAAATAAATATGCACACTGGAAAAATGTGTCCTCATTGGGTTGTTGTTTAATAAAGGCATTCATGTCTTGCTGGGAGAAAATTTGATAATATGAGACCACTGGTGAAAAAACCCTAAAGCAGGAATAGGCAGCTGGTGCATTGTCCAAAAACTGCTGAACTACAATTCCTAGTATGCCTTGGCTATTGTTCATGCTGTTAAAGCTGCTGTGAGTTGTAGGTCAGCAGTATCAAGAAGGTAGAGAGAACCACACAGTATTCACCAGGGGGACAGTGAAAAGGGCCTAAACAGTAATTTTAATTCTTGAAGAAACGCCATCTGGTTAGGCCTTTCTTCAGATAACCCTTTCCCAGCACTCTTAGGATTTCAGTCCAAATACAAATAACTAAAGCTAATGATATGAAATAAATATAATATGAGCTGAATATGTAGTTTCTTCCTTTAATATCAGTTGTAGTTTT